CAAGGAAAGGCTGGCTTTGACCTTGATGTTGGATTTACTGATACTTTGGGGCACAGCCTACTAACAGGGTAGTCTGTGCACAGAGCTGTGTCGTAGGCTGTCATTCTAGGTTTAGCAAAGTTACACTCTAAGATGTTCACATAGCAACAAAATCTCCTAACAAATAATTTCTAAAACCGTAATACCAGTGAGAGAAGAAATAATAAATAATTCCTGGATCTATGTTCTGTCCTACAACCAAATTCGATATTTGGAAACCTAAGAGAGAGGTGGAGACTTTAACCAGATCCTGGACTACAAAGGGAATAAAAGGCTTTTAAATATGCATTTTCAACTTCTGTTTAAAAAACATTGTTTGGAATGAATTTCCAGAAGAAAAGCAGAACAAAGATGATTCCCTGAAGAAACCCAGAAACTTCCTCTAAAAGTTCATCTTGAGGAGCTCCCTGAAACTGCTTTATTTTCAAAATGATTCTGCTAAATGAAGCCAAACCTTATGCTTTCAGATGTATTTAATTTTTCTTATATCCTTATGTATTTTTCATTCCTTTTGATTGGTTTTATTGGGTTTTTAATATTCTGGCTTCTATGTTTAATTTACTTTTTCAGTATCTTTATTGTAAATTTTAATTTGCTCTGTTTTATTAGCCTGCCTTTCATTACTTCAACTAAAATACCCAAGAGAGGCTCAAGTTTAGTTCACCTTACAGTTGGGAGGTTACACATCAAGATGTGGCATTCTCCAATCTGGAGTCTGGTGGGAGCTCACCTTGGTGTGTGCAGATAAATGATCACCTGGTAGCCCGGAAGGGAGTAGGGAAGAGAGAGAGAGAGAGATTTCATGCAAGACCCACCTTCCCATAGCATATTACAATCCCACCCACTCCCACCAGGCCCATCTCTCAGTTGCCATTTTTAGATCAAGTTTCAACACTTAATCTATTCATTATTAATAGATTATTAACATTAAGACATCAGAGGTTAAACTTCCACATGAGTTTGGGGGACAACAGATCTAATTCAACTCATAACAATACGTAAAAATCTTTTCGTGTGTTTTTTTTTACATATATATTTGTTTCTATTCTTTCTCTACTTAGAGATTCCACTTCTTACCTAAGTTTTGGTGTTTCAGTGGGATGTATTTTACTGATTGGAGCCCTAATTCTTGTTGTAGCAGTATTATATCGTATCAGAAGGGATTGGTTTGAGAAAACTGAAACCACTTTAGATATTTTAAGCAAAAAAGAGGAACAGAAATAATTTTTATTCACATAAGGTGGGCAACATTTAAGGTTGAACTTTCTCCCCAGTTTCTCTCAGCTTCTAATAAAGTCTGCAGCGATTGAAATCATATGAGCTTTCCATAAGATTTCCCATTATTTTGCATTAATAGTATTTTCTTGATCAAAACAGATGAGATGTGCAGTATATTGAATGCTTGCTAGGACACACATGTGCCAGAGGATGAATGGCATGTCAACCAGTCCTCAGGAACCTGCCAAACCATGTTCTCTAAAGTTGAAAAATTTGAGTTGTTTCATCTAGTACTTTTCTGTTACAAAGAAGGAAACATATAACCTGATAAGGCTCTGTGCTGGGGTCCGTGCAGTAGGTGTAGATGACACAAAGGTGTGAAGAGCACAGCTTCCCTGTTGGCGAGTCCGTAAGGAGCTTCCAGCTGTATGGCAGGGCCTGGCAGATATCTCTCCAGCCACCTCAGTGTAGTCTCACCCCCTTTTGCATGAACATTCAACCATCCCACTAAAATTCTGTAATCCATTGAAGCATTGTTGTTTTCTTATGTGAGATGGTTTGTGCAACCAATGTGAGCTTGGGAGTTAATATTTCTGATCATGTCTTGGTGAGTGGGCCTTTAATAATTTGCACACAGGAGTATAATTCAGCCCATGCCATTTCTGGACATTTTATTGTGTGCCTGCCCATTGCCCCAGAATCTGGTTCAGACATGTAGCACACCTTCTGGGAAATGGCTTGATAAGTATCCTAAAAATTAATGAAAGTGATGGGAGTATGAGCTGAAACTGCTATGGTGATAAATAGAGTTACTGTGACCTTAAAGGCTAGCCTGTCTTTGCAGTTTCTTTGGCACATAGGAAATGTATTTGTTTTAGCTGCTTATACAACTTTTGGCTAGATGAAGTAAAGGATGCTTTTATTAATATTATAGAGATATGCCTTTAATTATTGTTTGATTGTTTATGGGGTTGTAGAGCCTATAGTTGTAGGAGGATTTAATATATGGAACCTTTGTCTTGGATCTTTATGTTTTTTCCCTTGTGACATTCTTCCCATTGATGGGTAAATTACACAAACAGAAATGTGGTTGGAATGTATTACTGATTAGCAGGTAATTAATTGCATGTGTCTTGGCCTTGGAGTCCTGGCTGTTGCTCCATCGCTACTACTAAAGAATGAACAATAGCTTGCATTGAAGAACATGAGTACAGTATTTTGCAGAATTATCTTAGGGGCACCTGCTTAGCCATGAAGTACAATCAGAATGACCAAATGTCTGTGCATGCCCCCTTAGTCATGAATTAAAAATAGAACAATTAAATGTTTATGCAGAAGTTTGTGATGGGGGCTGGGAAAATAAAAAAGGACAGCTTCTTGAGCTGTAACAAGAAAGCACCAAGTGATTGTTTGTGTGTCTTTTGACTGACTCCATACCCCTTCTCAAGCTCCAAACTTGGCTGGAGCTGGTCTCTGGCAGCTCTGGCCTCTGGGGCAAATTTTCCATACTGAAGTGTGCAGCCCCAATATCTGGAGCAGGAAAGACTTCTGCAGTGACCCAGCAGACCGTATAGTATTGGAAGTGTCCATGATGGAAAAAATGTGTGTGGTGTTTCAGGAAGATGTAGCAGTAGAATCATAGTACAAGACCTTGAAGCTGTAGAGCATGGCCATGCCATCAGAAGCTGAGAATTATATTCCTTTTGAGGCACAACTTGGTCCCTGCTCTGATAGATTAGCATGGACTGATGAATGTGGAGCTGAAATAATGAAGACAATCTCTGTGAGGATGGGGTGCTGCCCTCTGAGAATCAAAGGAATATCAGGAATTAAAGACCTTCATATAGTACCACATCCCCAATAGGAAGAATACATGGGTCTAGAAAGCACAGGATAGAGTGAGAATGATCATACCTGCTAACCCTTCCAGTGACCAACTGGAGACTTTGTGCTGCCCATCCCCATAACTATAGATTCTGCAGGATTACAAGTCTTAGTCCACAAAGGACTATACTTTCAACAGGGGCAGAGCACAAATCCTATTGAGTTCTGAGATAAGGTCTAGGAGAAAAGAGGAGTCATCTACTTTTAATTAATTAATTTATTTATTTATGGCAGAATGTCACAGAAAGAAAAAGCTCTGTGTGCTGGTTTATTCCCCTAATGGCCACAATAATCAGGTCAAAGCTAAGAACAACTCCTATCCTGGTCTTTCACATGAGTGGTGGGGACCCAATTGTTGGATCAACTTCTGCTGCTTTCCCAGGCACATTAACAGGGAGCTGGATTGGTAGTGGAACTGACATGCTGACAAAGTGTGCCAGCTTCGCAAGTACTTAACCCTAAGCCAGGCCACAATGTCGATCCCCCCACTTGTCACTGTCTTGACAATTTACCCTGATCATTACAGATGAATCAGAGCAGCTTGTTACCAAAGGGGAGCAGCAAGGAGATCTTGTGGAACCTGCAAGATGTGTGAAATGCTTCTTGTGACAATAAAGGGATAGAAACAGCCTGAGAAATGAATGATAACCAGGGCTCAGAAAACTCTTGAAGGAGTTGGTCAGTAATACCATCAAAGCAAGCTCCAGAAGTGAAAACTCAGAGGGAAGAGACTGTAGAATGGATAGGGAAGACAGAAGGGGATCAATAGCAATGGCAAGAGCAACAGTTTCCCCTGCTAACTTCCTCTTAGGAAGAGACCTATTAGAATGACAAAGGAGCCACTCTTGGACTGTGTATGGAAAGCAGATCTAAAAGGTGCGCCAGTGGATTCTGAAAGATACTGAGATGACGTTACTAGATTCCTTTTCAAAGAATACATTGCTGCCTGGCTGTGATGAGTGAGCAGATAATTATCATATCTTTCAGGATATATACCTCACCTACAGAGCACTGACTGAAGGGCGACACAGGTAATTGTATAATACCCAAGCCAATTTCACTGGACCCAGGAACACCCAGACAAGTCACACTTCCTCCAGGGCTCCCCGTGGGCAGAGAAAGCCTTTGTGGAGCCTGCATTGCTGTTCACCTCAGCCTGCTCACGCCTGTTCCCTCTCTTGATGATCCCAAACTTTGTTTCCAGCCTCCTTCTGGAGAACCCAAACAGTGACAGCATTTTTTTTTCATCCATAACAGTGAATCCTGCACCATAGTTGGTACTTTTCAAAAGACATCCCATCTCCTGGATCTCTCCGGGAGGTGCTTTCCTCCTACTTCTTTTTCTCATTCACCAGGTCACTTCACAAACAAAATTTTTCTGTCTGGAAAAAAAAGAAGAAAAAAATCTTTTCTGTCCTTAGAGAGTATAATTTGATTACAGCACAACCAATACATGGTAAAGGAACTGGTGGTTTTGTTTGTTTTGAGTGTGCAGTTAGTACAGCCTTCAGTATGTTGCATTTTCATTGTTTTCTTGTAGTCTTCAACCTTCAGGGGAAAATATTTTACAAAAAAGAATAACAAGTATGCTTGCAGTATAATTTTGTATCTCTCCCAGAAAGGCGGAATTGTTGCCAGGGACATCAGTGTCTCCTGGACCAGATCAGGCACCTCCTATTGATTGCCTCGCTCTACTGTTTAACAAGAAGGTCGTATTTGGTTTCAGTTACGGTAAAACTTGGAATTTGAGTCAAGTTCTTTGAAGAGTTCAAAAGTACAAGCTTCTTTAGGAGGTTTGCTCTTTTGAAATATTTTTTCAGAGGTTAAAAATTAAACTTCAAAAAACTACCTAGCTGGAAGAGCCCTCAGCAGGACACAGACCCTGAATGCTTCTAACATGAAGCTTATTCATGTTCTTCTGTCACTTTTGTGCTGCCACTTAAGTTTTTGCAGGGTAAGTAATTTAATCTTTATGTAAAGTATTTTAAGTATTTTACAGATTATAACAATCTAGGATAAATTTTAAAGATGTCATTTTGGCTGAACTATCAATAGTTATCAGCCATGCTTTCATATGGTCAGTGTAAAATATGTTAATATATTGATGGAAAAGTTAAGAAAATAGTCTTTTTATATCCTTATATATGTGCTTAGACATTGACCTGAACAAAAATTTTGTAAAATTAGGCTGTAATTTAATCAAATTGATAAACGTTTGCTAATTCCCTTCTTTGTGAAAGATATAGTACTAGGAAGACAAGATTGATCTCTTCCTTCAATGGCCTTTTAGTAAAGTTGCTAAGAAGTTATATAAATATGCTAGTGGAAAAATAAGATTAAAATTATGTTTGAAAACACAGAAGCAAATGCTAAAAGACAGTTCAGGTACTGCTCAACCTGTAATGGTTTTACACCTAGAAAACCCATAATAAGTATATTTTAATCAGAAATTAATGTACCTAACATACAAACCATCATATCTCAGAAACCTAGCCTATCTTAAATATGTTCAGATCATTTACCAGTAGCCTACAGTTGGGCAAAATCCATAACAAAAAACCTATTTTATAATAAAGTATTAAACATACTTTATTCACTGTTATTCATTGATTACTGAAAGTAATGGGTAGTCTGAGGCTGAAGCAGTCATTTGGAGAGTGACCCAGCAGATGGAAAATTTTCTGTAAGTCTGAATTTCAAGTAAAATATTTTTTAATTACCCTTTCCCTTTGGGACTGATATTGCTGTGTAGCCATTTTCTGTGATGCTGGCATCCGGCATGTATGCTTCAGTTCTGATCCAGCTCCCTCCTGATTGCCTGAAAGCAACTGAAGATGCCCCCAAGTATTTAGTCTTCTCCCCACAACCACCTCCCTTGCTGAAGTAAAGACCTCCTGTGTAACTTACTGAGTCTGACTTTTTTGGTGTTGTGCCTGTACTTGGTAAGTAATTTAGGAAGTCAGACCCATGCTCAGAGAAGGACACTTAGCATATTTCAGGGAGGGTTCTAAGCTTGACTCTCTAGCTGATTTCTAGGCTGCATGTAAGTAGCAGGTGTAGGAGAAGAAGCTAGAGTTGCACATGGGATGTACCCATGTTGAAAAAGTACCTCAGGACAGAACCAATCTGCAGACTGGCAGAAGTTTTGCTATAGTAAGTTTATTTTTCTCTTCTTTTTTCCTGTCTCTCTCTCTCGCCACCCACCCTATTCTTTCTTTCAAAAAAAAAGCTGTCTAAAGATTGACTAGCTGAACACAAGCTGAATGGACTTTATAAAACATACAATTTTTTAAAATATACTCTTCAAAAATGGCTTAGAAATCTATAGGTTCTAACAACTTGAGTTAGAAAAGCACAATAAGCACCAAAAAAATAAACTGAGCAGAGAGCATGGGTTTTGAGGGAATGTGAGTTCAAGGAATTACGTATTATATATCCAGAATGTCCAGTTTTCAACCAAAGATTGAGAAGCAGGCCCAAGATACGGGAAAGCAGGGCCCATTCAGGAAAGATATTAACAAACCATCCCTGGGGAAGCACAAATTTTGGACTTAACTAGACAAAGAGTTAAATCCAACCATCTTTTTAAAATGTTAAATTATGCTGCATGTAATAAACTGTATTACTTAATGTCTGTAACTTGAGTTTGGATATAAATACACAGCTGTGAAAATACCACAGCAATCTATGCTGCAACAAATTTATTACCTCCAAAAATTTCCTGTTGCTTATGTGTGTATGTGTGTGTGTGTAAATAACTCTTAACAAAAGGTCTACCCTCTTAGCAAATTTTTAAGTGCACAATACAGTATTAAATATAGACACCATGCTATATAGTACATTTTGCATGACTGAAACTATATACTTTTGACCTATACCTCCCCAGCTTGCCCTCCTCCAGTCCTTGGGAACCCCCATTCTACTGTATTTTCATGAATCTGAATATTTTAGGTTCCTATCATAAGTACTATCATACAGTCTTTGTTTTTCTGTGTCTGGCTTATTTCATTTAGATTAGTTTTCTTCTAGGTCATCTGCATTGGCAAGTGACAGGCTTTCCTCATAGGGTTGAGTAATGTTCCACTGCATGCATATATCACCTGTTGGTGGATATTTAGGTTGCTTACATGTGTTGTCTGTAGTGAGGAATGCAACAGTGAATGTGACAGTGCATTTTTGACATTCTGATTTCAATTCTTTTGGAAATAAACCCAAAAGTGAGAATATATATGGTAGCTCCATTTTTTAATTTTTGGGGGACCTTCCATCCTGATTTTCATGGTACATTTACTGATTTCTACAAACATACAAGGTTTCTCCACATGCTTGCTAACAACTTTTATGATTTTAATAATAGCTATTCTGACTGGCAAGTGGCTTGATTTTTGTTTCCTTCACAATTAGTAATAGTGAGCACTGTTTCTGTGGCCAGTTGTGAAGTTTTTGAAGAAATGGAATCAGCAGATATTTATTTAGGTGCAAAAGAAAATTTTGAAATCCATGCTCCTTTTTAATAATACACAATTTCCATGAATTTGTTGAAGACTTTTCCTGTAAGAATTTTGAGAAATGTCTACTCATACCTTTGTGCAGTTTCAAGACAATTATTTAGCTTCACTGTGAACTGTATGACTCCCCTATTCATCTTGGATATTAACATGCTTATCAGGTGCATGGTTTGCAAATATTTTCTCCCAATCTGTGTGTTACATTTTCATTTTGTTGACTGTATCCTTCACTGTGCGGATTTATTAACTTGATATTATCTCACTTGTCAATTTTCTCCTTTTGTGGCCTGTGCTTTTGTCATCATATTCAAGAAATCATTGCCAGTATCATACCATGGAGCTTTCTCTCTGTTTTCATCTAGAGTTTTATAGTTTCAGGTTTGTGATGTTAAGTCTTTAAATCCAGTCTTAGTTGGTTTTTATGCATGGCATAATATGGAGGACTAATTTCATCTTTGCAAATGGATATCAGGTTTTATGTCTATGTTTTTCTTAAACTTTTCAATTTTTTATTATTTTTGTTCTTCTGTATAATTTAATATAACCTATTTTTAGTTCACTGACTCTTCTGTTTGACAAGTATGATATTCAGACTATGCATTGGATTTTCCCACTTACTCGTTTTTGCTTTCGATACTTCAAGAACTTCTCTGTGTTTTTTTTTTATTATGTTTTCCATCCCTGTTAAATTTTCATTTCATTCATGTATTTTTCCCATGATCTTTTTAGTTGTTTGTCTCTATTGCCTTGTAGCTCCTTGGATTTCCTTATGGCTATTATTTTGAGTTAGGTGTCAGACAGTAAGTTTCCATTTTTACAATCACTCACTACACGTTTATTTGTTCATTTTCTAGTATCTTATTTCCTGATTCTTCCTGATTATTGCAGCCTGCATTGATATCTGCACATCTGAAGAACCAGCTGCCTCTCCCAGACTTTACAGTCTAGCCTTGGGAGGGAAAGCCTTTCAGCCTGGTCATAGATTCTAGGTAGGCCATCTGAGAATATCTGTAGGGTGGATATGTTGCCTCTGATCTTATGCCGGTGGGCTTGCTGAGCCTGGTGCTGTAGTCTGTGAGTGGACCTGCTGCCCAGGTCACTGTGGTAGAAGGTATATTTCATGACAGGATTCCTGGGCAACCTTACTCTGTATTTCCCCCACAAGTAAAAGCTATTTTTCTTGTTATAGTTCTATAATATACGAGAGTTGTATATGTGAAGAGAAATTTTCACTTGCATTTTCAACTCCATCTTTTCTCATATCCATGTTCCACCAGGATGAGAAAAAATATTTCCTTATCCAAAGTATTTAAACTGATATTCCTTTGGTAGACAACTGGGAAGTTTTTTCCTTCCATCTTGCTAACACCACTTTCTTCAACTGCCTTCTTTTTTTTTTTTTTTTTTTTTTTGCGCCAAGCATCTATTCATTTGAATGGCGTATTGGCAGAGGGAGGAAACACACATGCACCCGCAGCCAAGCTATTCAGATGACAAAAAAACAGTGAAGGAGGTGATGTGACTTGCATATGGTTTGTCTCCCAAAGATTTCAGTAAGGGTGGTGAGGTGATGAAAGCTTTCTAAGATAAGGCCAGGCTGGGCATTTTGCACAGGGGTTAAGATACCACTTAGGACACCCACATCCCATAATAGAGTGAGCTTCCATCATCACACCACCCTTCCTGGAACCTTTGGGAGACAAACCATACGCAAGTCACATTACCTCCTTTACTGCTTTTTTGTCTGAATAGATTAAAACTAAAACTATTCCAATGGAAAAACTTTTGATGTGGAATAAACTCTTGGTTAAAACTGTTTTATTCACTTCCAGAAGAAAAACAAACTTTTACAGTGCCTATTCTTTCAGAATCCATTTGTTTCCTCAGTATTTTCCAGAAAAGTAATTGCATCCATTGGTTAGTGTTGTAATATTAAAGCCACTACAAAATCTCAGTGTACACAGTTTTTATTTTTATTTTCCCCAATTTACAAGAGAAAACTGGATAAGGAAAATATAGTCATATAGCCAAGATTGTTCAGCTGGTGGGCAGTAGAAAAGGGGCTTCCAAAGAATGCCCCCAAAAAGGGGAAAGTGGTAGATTTTTCCTTAATGTGGTCATAATTAATCTTTTTCCCCTTGTTAATAGGTAAAGGTGAAAATACAAAATGAATAAGGTAACAAAAGTGAGATAAAGTAAAGTAGCTATATACTGAGGTTGACAAGACCTAGAAAACTCTTATTTATTGTTTGTTTTCGCATGACTGACTGTCTAAATGGTTTCATTGTACTCCTGCTTGGAAAACAAAGACCACTTCCACCTAAAAATAACTGCTACTTCATTGCAAACAAGGATATGGCCAAAGGTGAAAAAATAAAGGCTATGTACACAAACAGAAGCAGGTCAAACCACTGCAATTCTGTTTGTAGATAAGATTATAGTAATAATTGCTAAACCAATATTCTGTGCTCCCAGTATATACAAATATAAACATTTAAGAGTAGTAAATGCATTTATATATCAATAAATGCATCATAAAATTTTAAACTTACATATAACATTTTTAACATGTTTTTTTTTAGATTTTTCTTTTTATCTTTATGGCATAATAGCTGGAAAAATACCTCGCAAAGCATCATCCTGTACTTAAGTATACAGGGAGATATTCATCATTAATGACACTATATATAAATCTGTATTCCAAATTATCTTTTTGATACTGATGGCTTGGGGGAATAAATAGTCCAGCATCATTCATTCATTCAATATCAAAGATTTTCTTCTTTTCTTAAAATTCTTTTTTTTCTTCTTTTCCCCCCCTTAATATCAAAGCCTAGAACCCATTGTCATTCCCTTAAGGGATCAAATTGTTCAATCTTACTGCTTTTACTTGTTCAAATGTCTTTCCAAGCTATTCTCAAGCTCCACTCTTGCTGCCTGTCCCTCTTGACTTTACCGACAGTGGTCACCCAATTGAAGCATACTCCAGTGCTATATATGCTTGATGGTGGGATGGTGTATAAAGCTCCAAATAAGCTCAGTACCATCTTTTTCTTGTGTGTTGCTATCATAGCCTTCTGGCAGATACACCTATCCTTCCTGGGGGTAGCTCACTTCCTACCACCTCCATGAAGTCTTGCAGAATCTTAATCACCCTGGTTCTCCAGAACCACTGTATTCTGTTTGTACTTCTGTTAATATTACTTACCAGTCTGCTTTGTTATCCTTGCTACTATATGTTTCCAGCTTATTGCCTTAATAGCCCTTAAAAAGATAAAGACTGTCTCATGTTCATCTTAACAATGTTTTACATGCTAAGTGCAAGTTTAATAAACAGGTTTGCATTTAAGTTTTATTCTTATTAATTTTTGTTTGTTTTAAAGATTTATTTATTTTTTATTACAAAGTCAGATATACAGAGGAGGAGAGACAGAGAAGAAGATCCTGCGTCCGATAATTCACTCCCCAAGTGAACACAACGGCCAGATCTGTGCCGATCCGAAGCCGAGAACCAGGAACCTCTTTTGGGTATCCCACATGGGTGCAGGGTCCCAAGGCTTTGGACTGTCTTCAACTGCTTTCCCAGGCCACAAGCAGGGAGCTGGATGGGAAGTGGAACTGCTGCAATTAGAACCGGTGCCCATATGGGATCCTGGCGCGTTCAAGGCGAGGAGTTCAGCTGCTAGGCCACGCCACTGGACCCTATCTTATTAATTTTAAAGGGAGAGACATGGAGACAGCGAGGAATCGTGTGCTCTCCAAATGCTTGTGACAGCAAAGTCTGAGTCAAGCTAAAGCCAGGAACCAAGAGCTCAATGTGGATCTCTCATGAGGGTATAATAGACTCCAAACATTTGAGCCAAAACCTGCTACCTCGTTGGTATGCTTGACAGGAATCTGGAATCTGACGTGGAGATAGGATTTACACCCAGGCATTCTGATATGGGATACAGATGTCCCAAACAGTATCTTAACCATTGCATCAAATGTCTGCCCCTGTATTTAAAAATAGAATTAACAAATTTCATCCATCACATTATTCCGTAAGACTGTTGAGCACCAAGTTGTTATTCCCTAACATGGCGTTGAAATTCTCTGATTTCTTCAAAGGTAGAATTTTATGTTGACCACTAATGTCAGCGCCTATAAACTGCAAGCCTAGGACCTGCTATCCTTCGTACACATAGTATTTCTAATCATTACATTGGCCTAGCAGAAGATGAGCTTTCGTCCTCATTTACTAGATAAAGATACTTGCTCAACGCCAAGCCTGGGAGCCATGTGGATCTGATCCTTAAAGCCACCAGACCACACCAGCCTCATCTGCACTGTGGTGTGGTTCAGTTTTGTGCTGTTTTGCTCTTTTCTGACACTTACTCATCCTCAAAAAGAAGACTGTGGTCTGACGTCAAGTTAATGTGATTGTTTGCTTGTTTGTTTGTTAGGTCCCTGCGATTTCAGATGCATCTCCAGAGGACCTTGTGGAGGAGAAATGCTTAATGAAAAAATACACACATCTCTCCTGCAGTAAAGTCTTCTGCCAGCCATGGCAGAAATGCATTGATGGAACATGTGTCTGTAAACTCCCATACCAATGCCCCAAGAATGGCACCTCTGTGTGCGCAGCCAATGGCAAAAGCTACCCGACTTACTGTCACCAAAAGAGTTTTGAATGTCTTCATCCAGGGACAAAGTTTGTAAATAATGGAAAATGCACAGCTGAAGGTACGAAAAGACAACTAGTTTTCAAGTTATTCTTGATGTGACGTTCACATACTTTCCTACGAAATATTATTATGACAGCTCAGTATTTTTCTCTAGATCCTTAGCAATACTTCACGTGAAACTTAAAAAGTCAAATGTCATTAGGATCCAACCAATTATCTTGAATCCAAAGCATACCGTTCTGAAGTCAGACCCTCCCCTGAATGCCTGTGCCAAGCCCATTACAACTGTTCCAACTGAATGCTTAGTTAATGGATTATTCACAGGTGATTGGGTTGGCCATATCCCATCGCGCATTGGTGAGTTTTGTATTGACATGTAGTCTAATTGGACTTTACACCCTCTTTGGACCTCCAGCTGAAGTCACTTTGTTCAGTATTGGTCTCCCCTGCCCCAAGCCTTTTCTCCTACCTCCAACCACAGTTGCCCTGACTAGCCAAGGAGAGCTTGACTTGCTGCTGACCCAGGAAACTTGAATATCAGACCAGAGACTTTGTCTATATTCCATACTTGGTCAAAATAATGATGAAACTGAATGTGAATCACTGGAGTGATTTGAGATCTCACTTTAGATCAGATCCAGCTCCTCCAAGCCTCACATTATTTGTTAAGCGGTGTGACCTCTCTGAATCCCAATTCCCTCATCTGTAATTTGTGCATAATAGAAGTTGTGAAAATTAAAATCAAAATATGTATATTTCCACAGAGTACTTAGCTTGTACAAAGTACTCATTAAATTTAGGCCGTGTCAAAAAATTTTCATTTTATTGTCTTCTGATATCTAGTTCCTGTAGACATTTTATGAATTTGCAGAGGAATCCTTAAAACATTCCTTCCTGTACCAGTTCACAGAAGCCTACATGTTTTTATGATGCAGAGTTAAGATGTTGTGGTACTTTGGAAAAGGAAGAAAAACCTGTTAGAAAAGAGAAAAGCCAGTGGAGATTGTCTGTCAGCGTTAGATATTTCTGCTCTGAATAAATACCTAAAATATATGAGAATACATAAACACTTTGTATGTTTTCTGTAATTCTTTGCTCTGCTTCTAAAAGTATGGACGGTAAAGTAATATCTGTTCAGCAAGCCCCAGTGGCTGACTTTACTGTTTGGGTCAATACCTCAATACATTCTACTGGATTTGGCTTTCTTATGTATAAACACAATAATGAATGCAGGATTGATCATCTTAGGATTGGATTTAATAATCCTTTTTATGCCCAAGTAGCATGACCACTCACATGTTATAATGCAAAAGAATTGCTTACTATTTTTTTTATTTTTAAAAATATTTATTTATTTATTGGAAAGTCAGATATACAGAGAGGAGGAGAGACAGAGAGGAATATTCCGTCCAATAATTCACTCCCCAAGTGAACACAATGACTGATGCTATGCCCATCCGAAGCCAGGATCCAGGAACTTCTTCTTGGTCTCCCACATGGGTGCAGGGTTCCAAAGCATTGGGCCATCCTCAACTGCTTTCCCAGGCCACAAGCAGGGAGCTGGATGGGAAGTGGAGCTGCCAAGATTAGAACTGGCGCCCATATGGGATTCTGGTGCGTTCAAGGCGAGGACTTAGGTGCTAGGCCACACCGCCGGGCCCACTTACTATTATTTTTAAAAATCTTCATTGTGTTCAAAGCTAATTGAAAAAAAAAAATATTATTTTTTAAGTCTCTTAACCTAAATGGGGAAAATAATTGTTCATCTTTTTGATTTTTTTTTTAGGAAAATTTAGAGTTGACTTGGAGTATGGAAATAAAGACTCTGAAGGAATTGTTAAAGTTAAACTTGTGGAACAAGATACGCATATGTTCATATGTAATAGCAGCTGGAGCATAAGGGAAGCCAATGTGGTCTGCTTTGACCGTGGATTCAAACAGTGAGTACTTCTGTCAGGGAATTTTTTTTCTTGAATTGATTTTCTGTTTTCTATTACTTAATCTTTCTCTGCCTCACTTTCCTCGTGTGAAATCTCAAGATATTGATTACCAATTTCATAGCATTGTAGCAAGATCAAGCAGCTTTATCTTTACTTAGAACTTAGAACCCCCTGAGCCCCAGTGTAGCAGTAGTTTTATGATTCTATAATGCCTAATATGTTACTGTTTTTACTCATCATAATGTGTATTTTCTCATATCAAATATTTTTTGTTTATGACTTTTCCCTAAATTAGCCTTATAGAAGCTTATTGATTATTTATAAATTCTCTTACGTCTTTATTTTGTAGTTCATTAGTCTTTGCTTCCCTCATTTTACCTATTTATCTTCTTGAATTCTTTGAGTTGAATATTTAAAACAACCATTTTCAACTTCTCTTAATTAAACACTTATGGTAGAAATTCTCAGATGCTTAAGTAATACTTTGTCTGCATACCATTAGTGTCCATAAATAGTACTGTTTATTCTTTTGGTGACAGTAAGTCGGGTAGCTTTTGCCATTGGCTGCGCACACAGAGGTGCCATTCTTGGGGCATTGGTATGGGAGTTTACAGACACATGTTCCATCAATGCATTTCTGCCATGGCTGGCAGAAGACTTTACTGCAGGAGAGATGTGTGTATTTTTTCATTAAGCATTTCTCCTCCACAAGGTCCTCTGGAGATGCATCTGAAATCGCAGGGACCTAACAAACAAACAAGCAAACAATCACATTAACTTGACGTCAGACCACAGTCTTCTTTTTGAGGATGAGTAAGTGTCAGAAAAGAGCAAAACAGCACAAAACTGAACCACACCACAGTGCAGATGAGGCTGGTGTGGTCTGGTGGCTTTAAGGATCAGATCCACATGGCTCCCAGGCTTGGCGTTGAGCAAGTATCTTTATCTAGTAAATGAGGACGAAAGCTCATCTTCTGCTAGGCCAATGTAATGATTAGAAATACTATGTGTACGAAGGTTGGCAGGTCCTAGGCTGCAGTTTATAGGCGCTGACATTAGTGGTCAACATAAAATTCTACCTTTGAAGAAATCAGAGAATTTCAACGCCATGTTAGGGAATAACAACATGGTGCTCAACGGTGTTATAGAGTAATTTGAATCTAATATATGTAAGTTTAGAGAAAATTACTGTAGTCCCTTACCTTCTACAATAGCATTAGAAGTGTAAATACTAATTATCCTACCAAAGCGCTTCTTTTCTTCTGTTTGCAGAGGTGCTCTTGATGTGCACAGAACGTTCCATTTGTCTGAAAATCTCCATATAAATTCCACTGAGTGTCTGAATGTGCACTGTCAAGGATTAGAGACAAGTTTGGCTGAATGTGCTTTTACTAAGGGAATAAATGAAGGTTACCAGGGATTGGCTGGTGTGGTGTGTTTTACACAGAATGAAGGTTGGTAGAGTACCTCACATCGTATTTGCCCTCCAATATTGAAGGTCGAATCTTGTAATAAATAAAGTTTGATATCCAGTTGCCAATCACAGAGGCAATGACATTTTTCTATCCATATTCCTTTTTAAATATTTTCATTATTATTAATATGATTTCTTGAAGGCATAGGTATTCCTGAATCCCTGTCTCTCCCTTCTCATTCTTCCCCACCACCATCACCATAATCTCCCATTATATTACAATAGTGAAAGCTGACATTATAGGGTTTTTTTCCTTGTAAAGATGTATTTATTTTTATTGGGAAGGAAGATCCACAAAGAGATGGAGAGACAGAGAGAAATATCTTCTATTCACTGGTTCATTACCCACATGGCCATAACGAAGCCAAGAAGCAAGAGTCTCCTCCATATTTTCCACATGGGCCCAACATCTCGAGACTTTGGGCCCTCCTCCACTGCTCTCCCAAGCCACAAGAAAGGAACTGGATGGGAAGTGGAGAGGCTCATATGTAATACCAACACTGGCAGGCAGATGGTCAGCCAACTGAGCCACTGCACCAAGCTTTTTTTATAGGTTCCTATATAGAAAGCAAAGTTTTCTGACTATAGTTCATTTCCTTGAACTTTGCTCAATCATGAAAAGCAACTTCAGCATCTTTGACAGTCCTAGCATGTATACAGTCCTTTAAAGTGCTTAAGTGACCACACTGGTACCTCAGTTTACAGGCAGTCATTGCCACTTTGAATCTCCAGTGTGACACTGGAATAGTTTAAGCATTTATGTGGTAATAAAAGCCAAAGCCATTCCCTTACTTTTCAGTGCTAAAAATAATTGCCATCAAAATGTAAATGAAAGGGCTGGCATTTTGGTGTAAGTCAGTATTGCACCAGCATCTGATATGAGTGTTGTTTGCTCCACTGCAGAGCTAGATCCCTGTGACATGTCTGGCAAAGCAGCAGAGGATACTCTAAATATGTGGGCCCCTGCCAATGACTTGGGAGACCAGATGGAGATCCAGGCTCCTGGCTTCAACCTGCCTCAACCTTAGGTATTGGCATCCATTTGGGGAATGAATCAGCAGATGAAGAGCTTTCTGTCTCTCCTCTGTCAGTAGCTCTGCTTCCATAGCCAACTTTTTGTATATTCTTTATTAGCCATAGGCACTATGCTGATAGAACCAAAACATATCACATCATTTTTTGAGGTCTGATTTTTTTCTTAAGGGCTCTTTATTTTTCTCAAAAATGTGATAAGGATGTCATGCCACAGCTCCTTAAACAGATTTTGCAAAGATTTTCCATGCTTTGCAGGTTCTCCAAGAGAAAGATCCTTCCAATGTGTGAATGGGAAAAGCATCCCTTGGAAGAAGGCTTGTGATGGTGTTAATGATTGCGGAGACCAAAGTGATGAGCTGTGCTGCAAAGGTAACACAGTTTAACCACTAGATCCTCTGATTTTAAGGTTCCACTGCATTCAATTTTAAGAAATAGGAAAAGGACTGGCAGAGTGGCATAAAGGGTAAAGCCACTTACAATATCATCAGTATCCTATATGAATACTGGTTCAAGTCCTGCCGCTCCACTTCTGATCCAGCTCCCTGCTAATGCACCTGGGAAAGCAGCAGAGGATGGCCCAATTGCCTAGAATTCTTGGAAGAAACTCTTGGATCTTGGCTTCAGACATACCCAGTTCTGGTTACAACTATTTTGGGAATGAAACAGTGGATAGAAGATCTTTCTCTTTCTTTTGCTCCTTTTTCCTCTCTCTCCATCCTTTCTTTATCTTCCTCCTTCTCCCTCTCTCAGTGTAACTCTTTCAAAGGAAAAAATAAAAGAAATAAATGGACGAGCCCTCTCCTTCTGTTTGCACAGGGTGTCAAGGTGAAAGTTTCTTGTGCAAATCGGGTGTTTGTATTCCAAGGCAACACGTTTGCAACGGGGAGGTGGACTGCATTACGGGAGAAGATGAAGTTGGCTGCAAAGGTAATTCAAAGTCCCATGGCAACTTTCCCTCATTATTGAATCCAGGGGATTCTGACAAGTTTCTTTATGTAAACTATAATCACATGTGAACAATGGAAGATGTAGCAGGAAGAATGTTACTGTGTGGGTATTTGAAGAATCTGGAATATTGGCCTCCTAGTATTTTAATCTGCTAAATATCTATTTGTTACTTCAGAACCTTTTATTTAAGAGTTCTCACATTTTAAAAAATGACACAATATTTGGAGCATCCCCTGTGGACCCACCTCCCAGCTGCAGTAGTCGTTTTCATTCATCTTATTCATCTCACGCCAGACACATCTGTTGGAGTACCTTAAAGTGAGTTTCAATAGGATGCTGGACTCTCTACCATTGTCTGTGCCTGCAGTGTCAGGATACACTTAAACAGCAGAATGATGGAGTTATAGCTGATTGGGAAGGATATACTATTGCAATGACATGGGAGAAATAATTGGGGGCGGTGCAGGTTGGAATTTGGGGAGGGGAGAAGGGAAATCCCAGAGCCTATGGAACCATATTAGGGAATAATAAAATAAATTAATCATTTTTTTAAAAAGTAAGTTTCAAATAGCAGATATTATATCATTTTACCTATGTCCCTACTCTAATGATAAAACACTATGTCTACACATATATAAAACATTCCTTTCCTAAAATACCTAAAATATAGCAATTCTTTAATGTCATTTAATAAAAACGTGTTCAAGTTTTCTCAGCCATCTCAAAAATGTCCTTTTTAAGTCAATGCATACAAATCAGGGTTTAAAATACTCTAACTGTTGTATTGACTGTATTTTCAATATTTTAAATTACTTATATAAAATGGAAAATGTCATGTTTTCCACAGTACAGATTTAGGGGCATAGTGATACTTGTCACCCTATCCTCTCTTGCCCTCATTCCCTACACACCCTGCTCCTTTCTTACTGGTTTTTCTAAATTCCACAATGGCATACTTTCAGTACACTCCACCAGGTAAAGAATTTAATAGCAAGTAGGAAAAAAAAAAACGCTATCTCTCAAGAATATAGACAAAGGCTGCAAACAAAAAACGCATTTCAAAATCCCAATCTCACTCACATAGGTTACATTTTTTTGTGCTCTGTGTAATAGTTACTATAGATCAGGAGAACCACATTTGTCTTTTGGAGAGTAGCTTATTTCATTAAGCATAATGATTTTCATTTGTATTTTGTTGCAAAAGTCAGGATCTAATTCTTTTTTTAATACCTGAGTATATATGTCACAATTTCTTTATCTAGTCATCTATTGGTGGATATCTGGGTTGATTCCATAACTTAACAATTATAGGTATTAAATGTATAAGTCTCATTTATTCTTTAAGGGTATTCCCCATCTGCACAACCCATTGTTTCATGTCATCAAATGTGTTATGTCATTTGCATTTGGATATTTCTTATTCCGTATTTATAGAAATCTGTTTAGATGCAAGGTTTGTTATTTTTAGTCAAGGATTCTTGAAGGATGTTACTGTTTATTTTCTGTCACATAAAATGTTTTCTTATCTGGTTTACCCACTTCCAGTGATGCCAAGACTGTCCACTGGACCACTTTGATGTCACCACTAAAAATTCCTCTACAATCTTTCCCCATATGATTTAACAGCCTGGGTAAATGTTGCCTACATTTGTCAATAAGGCTGTACATTGGCAGTTGCTAAATTTGTCATTCCTTCTGCATTTATTGACTGGAATGCTACAGGGAAAAAAAATCCCTTCATGAGCTACTTTGTTTCCATAAAATTCAATTCAGAAAAGAAAGGCTGACAAATGATTAATTCTTCTTCTTGACTTGTGGAGGAAATCATGGTCACAGCCACACAGGTGGCCCTGACAAGTGCTTCAGGCAGATGCAAAGCTTGTGCAATGTGCCTGAGACAGGAACATTCCAGTATGTTTGAGGAGTCCACAGAAAGGTGGCAGCAAGACTAAGGAAGGCTGTGGAAGGAATAAGCCACCTCATCTACAGAACTTGTCCAGTAATTTGCTGGTAAACACTCATCAATCAAGTATGGAGATAGAAAGAAAAGCACTGATTTGTAGCTTTTGCCCAATTTTGTGGCAGAAATACTCCCACCATGGGTGATCTTAGGCTGTTGATTTAATGAAATGGAACATAAGTGGAAAGTGATGGACCCAGCAGGTGCTTGTGAACCTGTCAGTGACAACACACACAACATTACATCAGTGGTTTATCGCAGATTTGTTTTGCTTTTTTATTTGTCTCCCCTTTCTTTCTCAGCACTAAACATCTTGAAATAGAATCTACCTAATCATTTCTATGTTCTAAATGTCCTGGGAGAAGCACTTTGCACATAAATTATTACGTGTGTGTGTGTGTATATATGTATATATGTGTATATATACACATCTAAATGTATAGATATAGATACATACATCTAGATGTATAGATAGATATATATATTAAAGATAATGTGTGGATAAATGGACTGATTTAGTTACATTTTGCCATTGCTTGGTGTGCCCAGTATTAGACCTACAGAAATTTTCTCTAATTTTCCATTGCTACCATTTTTTTAAAGATTACAGAACATACTTTTAGATTTCAAATAATAATTTCTTTATGGATGGTTGAGTAAAAGAGCTTTATGTTCATTGAATTTAATTCCTTCAGGCACGAGTTTGTAAAACATGGCTTTTCTAGTGAAGCTCTGCAGTTTTATCTCACTTCTTCAATGTAATCATATTTGTGGCTTTTCTTTTCCTCTTCCTTCTCAACTTTCCCTTTTGTTCCCCTGCATTTAAAGCTGAAGTTCATGGAAAGGCATTAGTCACAACATTTAAGATACTTCTTAGGAGAGTCAAATCCCATATGGTATCTCTGAGTTTGAGTCCCAGCCCTGCTTCTGATTCCAAATTCCTGCTGTTATATACCTTAGAAGGCATTGGTGATGACTCAACTAGCTAGGTCCTTTTCTCTGTCCAACAGATGGACTCGTGGCTTTAGTTTGGTCCAGCCATGGCTATTGCTGGCATTTGAGGAGAATATCAGCAAATGGAAAATAACTCTCTTGCTATGTGTATGTCACTGCCTTTCAAATAAAAAAGAAATTCTGGGCCCGGCGCGGTGGCGCAAGTGGTTAAAGGTCCTCGCCTTGCACGCCCAGGATCCCATATGGGCGCCGGTTCTGATCTCGGCAGCCCCGCTTCCCTTCCAGCTCCCTGCCTGTGGCCTGGGAAAGCAGTCGAGGACAGCCCAAAGCTTTGGGAACCTGCACCCGCATGGGATACCCAGAAGAGGCTCCTGGCTTCGGATCGGCATAGCATCGGGCCGTTGCGGCTCACTTGGGGAGTGAATCATCGGACGGAAGATCTTCCTCTCTGTCTCTCTTCTCTGTATATCCGCCTTTCCAATAAAAAAATAATAAAAATAAATCTTTAAAAAAACAAATAAAAAAGAAATTCTGAAGTTTGAAGTCAAAGCTTATGTTGATATAGATTTCTTGACTCCATAACAAAGATATATTTAGTGAACTGCCATTGTTACTTTCGTTTATTAGGAGTTCTACCTTTCTATTTCCCTAGTAGTTCTGTTTTTTCCCCCTAGGAACGGGAATTGGGTATAGAGATGTAAAATAGAAATATTAATGTGTTTGATAACCTTTGCTTTAAGTGTCCAGATCAGAGTCACTACGTCAAAGGGGGCTTGGGTTCTGTTTTAATTGCATTTGTCTTTTAAGACTCCTTTTATTCATACATTTAAAAAGTTATAAATTATGTGTAGTTGCATGGTAAATTTGCTGTTGAGTAGGTATTTACGATTATTATTTTTAAAATTCAAGTTAAAATGATTTCTTTACTGTGCTAAAAGTTATGGAATATTAAAAATTTAAATGATGCAGCACAGTTTGATTTTCTTTTACTTAAATACTAATTTGTTAGGCTATTTCTAAAATAGCAAGTATTTGTGTACATTTTATGCAACTGAAATTTTCTTGGCTATAAATGAGTTTTTGGTTTTCTTTTCAGGTGGCGACCATCCTGCTATTCTAGGTAAATCTATTTTATAAAACAAAAGTTGCATTACAAATAAAAGTAAAATACATTGTTTTGATTGTATATAGAGAAAATATTGAAGTGGTATTTATTTATCCTCAATTAAAAATTATCCTCTGCAGTGGTAATTTTTTTGTCTTTGTTTTTCTTCAGGTCTTTTATCTATGGCTCGAGGTAGGTATTTTATTAAAATATGGGACACCAAAAAATTGAAGCAAACTAAAGTTCTATTATCTTCTTGTATGACTAACGTAGCTGCTGACCAAGGGTTGACATGGCTGTGCATTAGCAAGATTTCAGCTTTACAGCTCATGCACATGGGCCTTTTTCAGTTCTCACACTGCCTTCCCAGGTACAGCCAGAGATCATAAGATACCCCCAGGGACCCTTCCCCGCACACTTCTCCTTTGCCTAACACATTTCTCCTCCCCCTTTAACTTTTCCTTGAAACTAAGGCAGCAGAGGAGAAGAAACTGCCAGCAGAGAAACAATAACATGTTTCATGACAGCTATTTTCTTGTTATATAAGCCAAATATCTCTGAATTCTCCAAATCTTGGGCAATGCCCTTTCCTTAAATATTCATATAAACACCTACATCCCCAGCCCCTATGCTTCTGGAAGTTCCTGGCCCCTCATAGGATTTCTTAGGATTCCCAGGCAACCAAAGCAGTTCAAGATCTCCCTTTCTCTAAAAGCCTATTTTCAGTTCCTTTTTTACTCCCACTCACTGGTACTCTTGCCTTCTGAAACCTCTGATCTTCTCCTTTCTCTGTTTGATCTTCCACCTTTATTCTTATTCTTTATTCTCTCTTTTACTTCCTTCTCCCTATCTAGTTTTGGACTTCAGGGGCAAAGGGACTAAGTTAAAGACATTCCTCAGTCTGTTGGACATGATCATCATTGGTCCAGACAAAGTCTCTGTCTTGTTTTACTTTGTTCTCTTTGTTCCTGTATCCCTGTTCCCCTTCCTGTGTGAGCAACTACCATAATGTGATTTAATAAACAGGCCTTTTGGTTTGTATGCATTCTTCTCCAAAGTATGTATTGTTCTGAAAGCATACATTGTTAATTTGCACGGCCATTTTGTGGTGGGTGTCCTATTTACTTTTGTATTTTCCTCACGAAGTATTCTGTTTTAAAGATCTGTTCATGTTTCTGTGTATTCATCTGTTGCTTCTAACTGCCATATAAAACACTCAACTATGTCCACCTTTTTCAATTTACTGCGTGTTTTCTCAGTAATGGACTCTCAGTCCACAGTCACACTGCAATAAATATCATCTCCTTCAGGATGTGTGGGAGAGTGTGTTTGAGACATCTGGCTGGGCAAGGAATTTTGGAGTTGGTATATGCACCTTCTAAACTTAACTACTAGGGCCTGGATGATTTTTAGCGGAATAGAAACATTACCTATCGGTTTTCACTTCCAGCAAAAATATCCAAGGGTTTCTAGCAAATCCCACCAAAATCAAGCATTACCCAGCTTTTTAATATTGCTAATCTCACAATGTCAATGGATAACCTTGTCTGTTAACTTAAATTTTTGTAATATGATCATTTTGAGTTTCTTTTCATATACGTAACATTTTTATTTTTTCTTTCCCCTGCCCTTTCACCAGTTCCCATCCTTTCTTCATTTCAGCAATTCTCTCTTTGAAATCTTCCTTCTTTTTTATTTCCTTTTACACTCTAGATATCAATCTATTGTAGATTTAGACCTGGCAAATACCGTCCTCCATTTTGTCATTCATATATTAGCTCTATCCATGGTGATATTTGTTGAATTAGAAATCCTTAATATCAAAGTCATCAATTTTTATGATTTATTATTATTTACTTATAGATTTTAACTGAAACATAAAAACTGTATATATTTATATATATAACTGTATATTTATATATATAACTGTATATATAAAACTGTATATATTTATAGTTACCATGTGATGTTTTGATACATGTATAGCTTATATAGTGTTAACTCACAGTAAATATATCCATCTCAAAACACCTATCACTTCCTTAATATTTTCTTCTACCTTTAGTTATACATATTTACATATTTATATGACAATACTATTAGAAACCCTGCTGTGAAAAAGAACACCAGACCTTTCTTCTCTTCTGTATAACTTAGCACACCTTAATCAACATTTCCCCATCCTCCTCCTTTCCCCCCAGCCACTGGTAACCACCATTTGGTTTTCACTTCTATGTGATCAATTTTGTTAGATTCTGTGCGAGAATGAGAGCCAGCAGTACTTATCTTCCTATCCCTGGCCTATTCCACTTCACAAAAAGATCTTCTGTTCTATGCCTGTTGTTGCAAATATTAAGATTTAATCTTTTTCCTGGCTCAGCACTGTATAGATGGCTTCCATTTCCTGGCTGTGGTAACTAGTGGTGCAATACAGTTCATGTGTTTGAAGTTTTCAGCTAGTCTTCTAACATCCAGCACATCTAAACTACAGGAAACCCTCCTCATCTCCCTTTGTGGAACACTAATGTGCATATTCAAGTCATCTCTGATTCGTTGGAGTGCTTTGATGAGCACTTCTGAGCAGAGCTTCCCTGCCCCAGAAAGCAACTCAGATGCATGGCATGACAGACACATGTCAACCTGTCCCAAAACAAACTTGGGAAACCCAGAGGCAAGACATAGATAGGATTTCCATTACAAAGTAACTTACTTTCTAGGCTGTGCCATACCCAACTACATCCTTATTATTCATGGCAGATAATGTTAACGGGACTGCAGCTTCTGATACCTAGGCCAGAGGAATAATGACTCTATCCTTTAAAATGCTCCTGGATGACAGAGAGAAGATGTAACCAAATATCCTCTATAATTTCAGGCAAAAGTCAAAGAAAGAAAGGAGAACCATTTTTTCCTTTGGATTTTTCTATCCCAGAAGCCTACTGCTAACTATCTGTGACACTAAAACCAATGCATCTATGTTTGTACCAGTAAGAGGTGACTTTTTAATGCTAGTTCAGAACTCTCTTCTTCAGAGTCAATAACTGCTCTTTACACTATATGGAGACTTTACGAATGTAGTGGCCTTAAAGAGAAGCTTTCAGTATCTGTTCCGGGCATTGCTGCCTACTTTAGATAAAAACCACCACCACAGCAACAAAACCTGTGCTACCTCGTACCTCAAGCTATAGCACTCATATCAACAGGTACCTGTTGTGCCAGTAGGAATGGCTTTGTAGCTCATCTTGAGCCTTTACAGCTTCACAGGAATTGAAAGGAAATAAGATATCATACTTTGAGGGAGGACAAGTTTTAAAACAGCTAAAAATTTGAATGATTTTAATGATTTAGTTTTCACTACAAACACATTTATAACCTTGTAACTTTTTGTTTTACCATAGAAGAAACAAAACTGGTGATTGCTGGTATGGATACAGGTAAGTTAATATTGTATTTTTTCTAAATATTGTATTTTTTGACTAGTGGTTCCTGGTTTAGGCTTACATTTCCCCCTTTTTTTTCTTCTCTCATTGTATGTTTGCATTTTAGTATCATGTGTGAATGTATGAATTTTTGTTTACATATATATATGTGTGTAATTTATTCAAGCAACAATTAACATTGTTACCAATTTAAATTGAAAATATATAACATTATTCTTCCTTATTTCTATGAAGATAACTTTTAAAGAAAAGACCCAGGATCCGGCACAATGGTCCAGTGGCTGAATCCTTCCCCTTGCAAATGCCAAGATCCCATATGGATGCTGGCTCATGTCCTCACTATTCTACTTCCCTTAAAACTCCCTGCTTGTGGCCTAGGAAGGCAGTGGGGGCCCAAAGCCTTGGGACCCTGTATCCACTTGGGAGACCCAGAAGAAGCTTTTGGCCCCTGGCTCCAGATTGGCTCAGCTCTAGCCTTTGCGGCCACTTAGGGAGTGAACTAGCAGATGGAAGATCTTTCTCCTTCGCTCTGTAAATCTGCCTCTCCAATAAAAATAAATAAAAATTTTTTAATCTACCTAATTTTATTGGAGAGGCAGATTTACAAAGAGAATGAAAGACAGAAAGAAAGATCTTCCATTTGCTGGTTCACTCCCCAAATGGCTGCAACAGTCAGAGCTAAGCTGATCCAAAGCTGGGAACCAGGAGCCTCTTCTGGATCTCCATACAGGTGAAGATTGAAATGGAGCCAATGAGACACAAACTGGCACCCATATGGGATGCTGGCATTTGCAAGTGGAGAATTAGCCAATGGAGCCATTGTATTATCCCTTATGAAAATAAAACATTTTAAGAAAAATTAGTGCAAATAAGTTGTAATTGGTTTTTAAACTGGATTGATAGATATGACTGATTTTGAAGTACAGTCTGACATAGGTTTTCTATTTGATATGAACCTTGTGAGGCCTGTTTTGCCAAAAAAAAAAAGGGGGGGGGGCCCAACCAGATTTCAAGCATGATTTGTAACATACATTTGAAATAGAAAATAACGGAAGTCAATTGAATTAATCTGTTCTTTTCAAAAACGTGTTCCACTGATCTGCTTCAACTGGGGTTCCTGGCTAGTCACCCACTCAGGACTAAATAAGATAAAGGATATACAGCATGCCTTAGTATGGGAACTGACACATAAAAAATAAATACTTAATGTTGATATTTAATGTTAATATTTATTGTTATTAGAGTTCCATAGAAACAGCCAAAAGCCAAGACAGTGAGAAGGTACAGTTCACCATGTCTTTAGCATATTTTGATCCTTTCAGAATGTGACATGCCTCACCTGAGCTGTCCCTGGAGTAACACCTGGCATCTGGCTACTCTCAGAGGCTGACAAATATTTAAACCCTTGGCCAGCCCCTTTCTTACATTAACTCACCTTAGGAAAGAACCTCAGTGAATTTAGCCAGTTTTAATATCAATCCCGAATTGTTAAACAACATTAAGAGTATAATTTAGCATCCAGATAAATTTACTAATGAATCTAACCTGTTTTCTATTAACCACAGTTGTTTTTGTGGCATATAAAATCTAGAGGTGTCTGTTTCCAAAGTAATGAATTCAAAGTAATAAAGATCCCATCTCTTACTTTCTTGAAGAAAGAAAACGGATAAAATCATTATTACCAAAACCCTTTTGTGGAGTTAGAGAAAACATACGCACTCGAAGGAAACGAATTGTGGGAGGGAAGCCAGCTCAAGTGGTAAGCCCACATGAAAGTCACAACTTACACTTCCCAGAAGCAGCCTAAATTGGGGGAAGCAATGCGGGATGAAGTGATTACAAGAGTCCAAGTTTCTTGCAATGGACAGAGTTAGGGCTACGTACTTGTACCACTGTCTGGTAGAAAGGAAGTGACCACATGAATGTCTTTTCAGGGAGAATTTCCATGGCAGGTGGCCATTAAGTATGACAATAAAATCAAATGTGGGGGAATTTACATCGGTGGCTGTTGGGTTCTGACTGCTGCACATTGTGTCAGGTAAAAATGTCTTCCGTGCATTTCAGATTTCCTGAAACAATGAATAATAGAAATTGTGGTAGATGTTAAAAATGCAAACATGTCTGAGGATTCACTGACATTGTCGTTGTATGAATTGCTCCATTCCTGCTCATATTCATGGCTGAAATTCCAGAGGTCAGTCACCCACGACCTGCTGTGTTCTCCACAAACCAAACTGCTGATTCCACTGGCAAGGGCAAATCCAACCATTAGGTACAAGGTTACTTCACTTGGCTCATTTGCATGGTAGGAAAGCGAGTAGTTACTACTTTACATTTTGAAGAGCTGGGAACAAAATCTTTGGAGAGCACATAAATGAATATTTATAAAGAGAAAACACTAACCCAGCATTTTCTCTGATCCTGTTCTCAACAAAGATGTTGTCTAGACATCTTTTAAACTTCCTAACTGTGAATGGGAAATACACATTTGCTGCAGGTCCAGTAGGTGAGTTATAAATATCTGTATTAGTTTGCTAAGGCTGCCATAACAAAATACCATAGCATGGGAAACTAAATCACAAGCATTTCCTTTCACAGAGTTCTGGAGGCTTTAAGTTCAAGATTGGGGTGCCAGGTGGGTTGGTTTCTCCCTGAGGTCTTTATCTCAGGCTTGAAGATGACCATTCACTCACTGTATTCAGTTACAGCCTTTCCTTTGGGCATATACTTGCATGGTCTCTCTCTCTCTCTCTCTCTCTCACACACACACACACACACACACACACACACACACACGCACACACACGCACACACACACAATCCTACTGGAATAAAGTCCCACCTTTCTGAACTCACTTAGCTCTGATTACTCCTTTAAAAGTCCTATCTCCAAATGGGTCACAGTGGAGCTTAGGGTTTCAAAATGTGCAGCAGACATAATTCAGTCTATAACAATGGCTGAATTGCAGTACCTAAAAGGTATTGATTAACAAATCAAAATCATCAGGGAAAAGAATGGAGCTCCAGGTTATTAGTTTACTTATGACTATAGAATGAATGAAATATCCTTTATGGAGCACTTACCATGAACTAGGTACTGGGCCAAGCACTTTGATATAGACTGTCTTGTTTAGTATCCTCAACAATCCTTAAAAGGAAATATTGTTCTTCCCATTATGTGGATTAGTAGAATGAGACTGAGAAGTCACATGACTTGGTAAACAACAGAACAAAGATAAAATTAAGTGAAAACAGTAACTTAGATGAAGACCTGTCAAATAGCCAGACAATCCAAAATTGAGAAGAATCACAAATATGTCAAATGATTAAATGTGAATTATACCTGTAAAAATCCACATGTATTGGAGAAATGAGCCAAATCTAACATCTTCCTTCTTCATTTTTTAAATTTTAATTGTTTTTTAATTTGAGAGGCAGATAAAGAGAGAAAAGAGAGCTCCTACCTGCTGGTTCACTTCCCAAGTACTCGCAACAGCTACAATTGGAACTGAAGCTGGAATCCTGGAACTCTGGCCAGGTGTCCCCTGGGAGTAACAGGAACTCAATTCCTTGCACCATCACCACTGACTCCAAGGATCTACCTTAACAGGAGGCTGGACTCAGGAGTAAAGCTAGATAGTCTAGGAACTCAGATGTGGGAGCTCCAAACATTGACTGGTAGGCCAAATGCTATTCTCAAATTCTAGAGATCCTTCTCTTGGCTTTGGTGCCATAACACTCTCATGGGTTTCTGTTTGTCTCTCTGAACATACCTTCTTTGTCCTTTATACACATTCCTCCTTCTGTGTTTGCGTATTATTATTCAGCTAAAATATTGGAGTTTCTCACTCTTTAGCCTGACTTTTTCTTACTATAGTTATCTGCAGTGTACATATTATTCTGGGACTCTTCTTTAGCCACTGACCCCTACAGTCAGTTGCCTACCAAACCATCTTGGATGTATCAAACTATATTGGGGAGCAGGAGTTTAGCCTGGAGGTTAAGACGCATTCCATATCACAGTGCCCAGGGTTCAATTTCCAGTTCCAGCTCCTGACTCCAGATTTCTGCTAATGTTGACACTGGAAGGCAGCAGTGATATATCAAGTAGTTGGGTGCCTGCCATGCCCAGGGCAGACTTGGATTGTATTCCTAACTCCCTGCTTTGGACTGAGCCTGCCCTCAGCAGTTAGAGACATCTAGGGAGTAGACCAGCAGGTAAAAGATGGCTCTCTCCATTTCAACTAAATAATTTTTATACTGCATCAAATTCAAAATTTCCTGAGGTTAAGCTCATAACAGTATTTTTCCCTCAAATATGGTCCTGTCCCAGTATTTCTTACCTCAGTAAATGACAGGATAAGGCAGAAATCTAGGAATCACAGTATTTCTTTTTCTCAGCTGTACTCTGCGCCAGCCAGTATTTTGGCAACTCCAGATGGCATTTATAGTATCTACTGATGTAATTCTCAAAACTTCTCTCCATGTTGCCCTGCTTTCCCCTTTGATCTGGGTGGTGTCCATCTCCTCTTAATTGGCTCTTCACCACAGTGATGCACACTTATCTAGAGGCAGCAAAGTCTTGTTGCTTCTGGGAAGCCCAGAAGAATTAAGTAGTTTTTTTGATTGCTTTGCTTTGCTTTGAGTAGCTTTTTGAGAATTGAGTAGCTTTTTTGGTTTGTTTTATTTTGATCAGCTACTCAATTCTTTATTTTGCTAATATTGGATGTGTTGATGGATTATTCCTTTTTCATTTACCATTGGCCTACTTCTGCCCTAAAAATACAATGTCACTGTTCTAAGATAGCAAAGATTTAAAAAAAAAATGGTGAAATGAAGATGGTCCTTTCAGAGAGAATTATAAAATATCAGAATTCCATATTTATATATTTTTCTCAACATATTTCTTTTTCCTTTTTCCTTTTGGTTATAGCACAACCAGAACTCATCGTTACCAAATATGGACAGGATTGATAGATTGGATAAAACCTAATTCTGAACTGAAGGTTGAATTTGTGGAAAAAATTATTGTCCATGAATATTACAATGGAACCAGTTACCAAAATGACATAGCTTTGATGGAAATGAAACCAAATCCTCACAGTAAACGTTGTGAGATCCCTAACTCCATACCTGCTTGCATCCCCTGGTCTCCGTATTTATTTCAAGCTAATACGACATGTGTCATTTCTGGCTGGGGTCGAGAAAAAGGTACATGTTTTATACTTTGTTAGTTAAAATCCAAAGATTGGAAATTAATGGAATTAGGAATACATGAGAGCTAATCTTCTTATTGTAAATTAGAGAGGTTTCTGTTTCCAGGCATTTCACAGATAGTGATCTGCTAGAAGATATTTAGTCTATAACCGTAGTACTGTGAGCACCAGTACTTTCACTATATCAGCATTCACTGAACAGCTTCTTTGGGTTCAGATGGCTCCACCTGCTGATGCAGAATGAGTAAGGCCTACCTGCTGCTCTCACAGCATTTAGGGTAATATGGAAACTAACCCCAAATGAAAAACTACAGTATGAAAATTTCTGTGAACTGGGAAAAAAAGAAGTTGGGGCCAAGACTTACTGTTTACCCCAAAGACACCTTACAGTGTTCTTACATTTTATTGTGTCAGTTGACAGTATCTGGTCCATTTCCTTGGATCAAAGATATTCAGGTCCCTAAACTTTCACTTAAATGGAGATTCCCTTTCTTTGTTCATAGATTTATTTTATTTATTTGAAAGGCATAGCAACAAAGAGAGAGAGGGGAAGAGAGAGAGAGAGAGAGAGAGAGAGAGAGATTTTCACCCTAGTAGTTAACTCCCCAAATGGCTGCAACGGCCAGAGCTGTGCCAAACTGAAGCCAGGAGCCAGGAGCCAGCAGCTCCATCCTGGTCTCCCACATGGGTGGCAGGGGCCCAAGTACTTTGGTGATCTCCCATTGCTTTCCCAGGTATAATCATTTAGAACTAATTAGGAAACAGATTTTCTTACACACATACACACACACAAACCTGTTTGCAATTTCATACATACATCCTTTATTTTGACTCTAAGAAGTACTTTCAAGGAATGAGACTATATGGAGATAGGAGGTATTTCCGTGAGAAGATTCTGTCCATTCCTGTCCAACTCCCCCAAAATCAGCAACCAAAGATTAAGGATTTGATCTTTCACTCACTTCACCTATGAAGTGTGTCAGACCTCATCCTCCTGGACCATCTGTTCAGTTTTACAAAGGCAAGCATACCAACTAACAATATGAAGAAAGCAGAAAGGTGCTAAACAGGTGTAGACCTTTGGCCTAGTGCTCTCACAGCTGTCCGAGTCACTGGACTCACATGCTTGCCCTGCTCCTGATTCCAGCTTCCGGCCAGTACACACCCTGGGAGGCAGCAGGTGCTGGCTCAAACACTTCGATTCCTACCATCCACGTGGGAGACCTGAATTAACCTTGGCCTAGTCCAGCCTCAGCTGATGCAGGCATCTGGGGAGTGAATCAGCAAATGAGAGTTCTGTCTGTGTCTCTCTTAAAAAGTTTTTTTTTAATTAAGGAAATTGCCTCAAAAACTCATATATGTATTAAAGAGTACATATATATAGATGCTTTTATATTCCTAGTGGCATACTAGGCAGGAGCTTAAATTCAGATTTCTCATGTGTGACTAGAACGTTCGTTTTCTCATTTTGTTCAGATAACCAAAAAGTCTACTCACTTAGGTGGGGTGAAGTTAACCTTGTAAGCAACTGCTCTCAGTTTTACTCAAATCGCTACTATGAGAAAGAAATGGAATGTGCAGGTAAGTGCTAAGTGGTTTGTCTGAGAGATCTGTACACCACCTACCAAACATCTCTCCTCCTCTTCATACCTGCTCCTGGCTATGGGTCTTGACCTCTTCCAAGTGTTCTGTCCATGATATCACCAAGCTCCTTCAGCCACTCCCCTTGTAGCTCAAGTTCCCTCATTTTAATACTAACAGAAAGAATCTTCCCTAAGCCATTATACAGCAGTTTAGCTCTTGGTCTGTGACAAAGCAGAGATAGTGGAACCAGACTGCCTGGATTGACATACCAGTTGTCGTGTAACTGTGAGCAAGGTTCCTCATTTGCCAAAACTGAGGGCCTTCATAGATAAGGAAAATGAAATATAGAACCAATTTTCCAACCAATGTATCACATTTGGGATGCCTTATTGAAACTATTTGTAATGAATACTGAAAAAGACAGCATTATTGAAATCTTATTAATTCTTAGATGTAGTGGTTAAAAATCTTAGAAAGCCATAAGAAGAAAGCACCTTCCCCTGTTGAAGTAGAATTCAAAATTCCTGTAGACAGATGAGTAGAGAGCACAAAATCCTCCAGGGAGGGTGAAGAACACAAGCTCTGGGGTCCATCTGCCTGGGTTCAAGTTGAGCTTTCATAAGTAGTTAAGTACTATTGGCACTTTTGAACAAATAGCTAACCTCTCTGTGACTTGTCCTACCTGTGAGATAGAAATAGGAACGACACACCACTTTGAGCCGTGAGGCTTAAGGCAGTGAACAATTGATGCATATAAACTCTTAATAAATACTAGATATTCCTATTATTTTTTCCTCTTAGCTTAACATGCTATTGTCAGACTACATTCTCTTCCCAGTATACTTAGCAATTGCATAGAGATCACAGGAAGAATATGCTAAGGTGAGGGATGAATAGAATACTCAAACTTTTCCCTAATCTTCCCAACTCTGCAAGTCCAGCAAGGATCTGTAAGGAGGGGCGAGCTCATTCAAATTATTTCAGTAAAGTGTAAGAAAATCAAAGTCATTGCCAGCACTGGCAGAGGAGGCAGGAAGTCAGTAGAGTGTCCTTGATAAAGGAAGAAAATAGGTGATCTTCTCCTTCCATTTTCTTTCTCAGGTACAATGGATGGTTCCATCGATGCCTGTAAGGGTGACTCCGGAGGCCCCTTGGTTTGCACGGATATCAACAATGTGAATTACGTTTGGGGCATTGTAAGCTGGGGTGAAAACTGTGGAAAACCAGAGTTTCCAGGTGTTTACACCAAAGTGGCCAATTATTTTGACTGGATTAGCTCCCATGTAGGAAGGTCTCTTATTTCTCAGTATAATATGTAAAATTGTGATCTCCCCTTTTTTTCCTACCCTTTGTCTCTCAGGAGTCCCATTTTGGTCAAAATTAATTAAATAATCAGTGCTTCTCAATGGAAAAAATGGAGGTAAATCTTACTGAAATTTTTATTGACTTATCAAGCTCATACTGTACTGTTTTGCTGTACAATTCTCAAATAAATATTTTGATCAAACACAAGTTTTATTTACTTATTTATACAAGAATGATAATATTGACTAAAACATTTAACTAGTTGAATGGCATTGCATTCACCTAAACCTGGGTTAAGCCCTCAACTTTCTCACCTCCTAAATTTGACCTTGGGTAATTTATTATCCTCTTTATGTCTCATTTTCATCTATGAAATGAAAACTAGAAATTCATGAAAAATAAAACTGTGTACCTATGTAAAATACTTGACATAGTACTTGTCACATGGTGGTGCAGGCCTCACTGCCTAATGTTCTCTTTTTAACATTATTTATTTGTCTAAGTATGCATTTATTATTTTTTAAAAGTTTTATTTACTTCATTTAAAAGGCAGATTTATACAGAGAAGGCTCTTCCATCTCCTGGTTCACTCCCCAAGTGTCCACAAGAACCAGAGCTGAGACAATCCAAAGCCACGAGCCAGAAGCTTCTTCCCATGTCAGTGCAGGATCCCAAGGCTTTAAGTCATCCTGTACTGTTTTCCCAGGCCACTAGCAAGGAGCTAGATGGGAAGCAGGGCAGCCAGGATTAGAACCAGTGCCTATATGGAATCCCAGTGCATGCAAGGAAAGGACTTTAGCTGATACCCTACTGTGCACCAGAAACTCTGTGCAACTCTCCCACATGGGTGTCAGGAACCCAGTTGCTGGAGCCATCACTCCTGCCTTGCAGAGTTCCCATTAGCAGGAAGCTGGAGTTAGGATCCAAGACTGGGATTCAGATCCAGGTATTATGACGTGGCTCATGGGCATCCTAACTGATATCTCAATACCTATGTTTAATTCCTACCCCTCTCTGCTTTACATATTCAACTACAAAAAAAAAGTCTTTGTTTCCTCCCTTCACATATTCTTCTTGACCCTATCTCCAAATATCACATAACTCAGATGTGCCCCATCTCACAGTCACTAAGCGGTTCTCATCTCAGCAGCACTAGATCCTGCAGTGTACCGCTCTCTCCCCATCTGCTATTCTCAGCCTGCCTCCCCAGCCTCTTCCTTCATGTTGCTTTCATCTGTCACTTTCCTTGATGATCTTATCTAGATTCAGTTTTAAATGTCACCCACAGTGAATGGCTCAGTGACATAGTGGTTTGGACCTCTCTTTGTGGTACCAACATCCCATATGGGTGCTGGTTCACTCCACTTCTAATCCAGCTCACTGATTATGGCTTGGGAAAGTGTCAGAGAATGGTCTAAGCCTTGGCACCTTGCACCCACATAGGAAACCTGGAAGAAGTTCCTTGCTCCCAGCTTTGAATTAGCCCAGCTCCAGCCATTGCAGTCATTTGAGGAGTGAACCAGTGGATGGAAGATATCTCTCTCTGTCTCTCTCTAACTTTGCCTTTCCAATAAAAAATAAATTAATTTTTAAAAGCTTGCTCATAGACCCATGACTCGCAAATCTGTATATTCAGCCCTGACCTTTCCTAGAGCTAGATGCAGACTCTACTACATGCCACTGAAGTCTTAGCATCTCCATGTGGATATCTGGTAGCATTTCAGAAAAAAAAATATGCCCAGCCCAAAACTCATATTGCTCGTCCCTAAACCTGCTTCTGCTCTGCTCAGTAATGGCCACAACCACCACCTTGGGGGCACAGAAGGCACTTTCCATCTTGTCACCCTACTGTAGTCTCTGCATAGCACTGACTATCCTCCAGCCTATTCTCTTTCCATCAGCTTGTCTACTTACCCACGCTTTTCCCTACCAATTATAAGACATGGGAGAGAAACCGCATAGATCTTCCTTCTGGCTGCAGTCCTAGCATTTGTTTCACAGGGGGTGCTTAATGAATCAGCATTAGCTGCTTTGCTTTTATTATGTTTTTTTTTTTTAACTACAGTTATCATCCTAAAGGAAATATAACCTTTTGTGTATCACTGGGGTGCAGTCTTGGATGGAGTCTGGTTGTTTTAATAATAGAAATGCCATGTCTCCTTAGATTCCAAGATTAGTACTCAGACTTTTCCCATTTAAAAAAAATTATAGTAAAATATTTATATGTAACAGAAAATTAACCATTTTAATCACATCTAGTATAAAGTTCAATGGTATTAAGTGCATTCAAATTATTGTACAGCCATCACTATTATCCATCTCCAGACATTTCCATCTTTCCTTTTAAAAATTTCATTATTTATTTATCTATGTGGTACAGATTTAGAAGTATAGTGATACTTGTTACCCTACCCGCTCTGTTCAGCCCACATTCCTCACCCTCTCTCCCCTGCTCATATGGAACTGCACACGGGCTGGGGTGCAAGCTAGTGGCTGTCGAGGTATCTGATGGAGTATTCTTGCAGTGATCTTTGCGTTATTCAAAGATCATAGACTCCATTTTTTCTAGCTTTCCTTAAACAAATTGGCTACAGTTGTCTGCAGTTAGAAGGCCTGTGGCAAAGCTGTAAGCTGGGAGAACCACAGAAGTAAATCATGACGCTTCTGTTCCTCCTGTTTCATACCCGTTGAGCACTGTCTCTTCATTTCATCCTCTCAGGCTGGCCGGAGTTTAAATTACTTTTGTCATTTGATTGCCAACTGATGTGTAAAAGGAACTCCCAAAGAGTGGCCTAAAGCAACTTTGCTCACGAATCTGGGAGTTGCTTGGGCCCTGGTGGGCAGTTCCCCTTCAGGTCCCTCATTCAGCTGCAGACAGGGTTGGAGCAATTTTTCTCGAAGGTTTCTTCCCTCACGTGTCTGGTACCTGGGCTGGGAGACTTCACAAGCTGAGACTCCTCGGGTATCTATCTCCATGTGCTATGTCTTTGTGGACTGTAAATGATAGACTGAGGTCACTGGAACCAGCTGGTGAGGGTCCCAAGAGAAAATTCAGGATCTGTAAAGACTGCCTGTCCTTGCAGTGGACGTCAGTCAGCATCACTTCTCTCACAAAGTCCTGCCCAGGTCCAAGAGAATCTCTCACTTTAAATATATATGAATGTATATGTGTATGTGCATATACACTGTAATATGTGTGTTTTAATGTTTATATATGCATATATATATATATATACATATGTTTGAAAGGCAGTCTTGCAGAGAGATAAGGAGAAATATAAAGTTCTTCCATTTGTTGGTTCATCTACAAAATGACCACAATGGCTAGAGCTGGGCTGGTTCAAAGCCAGGATCCAGGAGCTTCTCCTGGGTCTCCACATGGGTGCAGAGGCCCAAGAACTTGGGCCATCCTGCACTACTTTTCCAGCCCATTAGCAGTGAACTGGACTAAAAGTAGAGCAACCAAAATCCAAACTGGCAGCCATTTGGGAATGCCAGCACCATAGGCAGAGGCTTAGCATGCTACGCCATGGTGACAGTCTCAAGAGAATTTCTTACTGGCCAGAGTGTCAACAGCTTGCACTGTTAAGTCAGTGTCCTGACTTAAGAGTGCAAGAGCAAGGTGGCAACTTGAAGGACATCGGTGTGAAATAAACAGGCATGGACACCCTCAATTCACAAGGAGTCATATCAATGCCTCTTAAAGGATGAGGTCAGTGTGTGCAGTAGCTGAGGGCTAGAGGCTTCAGCAGACATGGACCTTCCAGTGAGAGTGGTGCTTCTGAAAAGCCAAGAGCAAGCTCTCCAGGGGACTCTTGTGGCAGCAACCAGGAAGAGCGCAGGTAGCAAGATTTAACTCCACTGTTGCCAGGTCGGAGTGAAGACTCTTTAATGGCAGACAGCAAAAGCCAATCTAATTGATTTAATGAAACACACACACACGTGCGCGCGCTCAATCCAAGATATAATATAGATCACAGATTCTCCAGAAAATTGGAGTCTACACAGAATAATGTATACAGAGACTACTGTAGGCTGTCCATCACGAACTTCCACAGCCGCCAGCCTGGACCCCAGCCTCCATGCGCATCTTATACTGCAGCGGCTGAGCATGGGGTGCTGCTGCCAGGCCCTCTGTCATTCCTGCCTGTCTGCATTCGTGTGGCCCTCCCTGCAAGTGCTTGGCAAACAGAGCTCAGTGGATGTGGAGCTCTGCCCTCATTTTCCACTTACTCCAGCCTCTGATCTCACGACCTTCTGAGGCAGATGGGAACATATGTTACAAAGCTTTACCTTCCAGGTACAGTGATAATAAAAACTCAGGGGAGATCTGGAAATAAGTCTGGAGTGTTAAAGAGAACTTCCTTAGAGACAAACCTAATCTGAAATATGGAAGAACATTTCAGGCAGCAGCAAATTCCAACTTCTTGCAGCATAAGGAGCCAGGTAGCCAAGGAAACTGCCACTTGACTTGAGCCCTAAATTCACTGAGAGTTGAGAGCACTACAGGATTCCAGCAATTTGAAATTGAAGGCAGTGCAGAAAACACTTTGGAGAAAGATGAGATGGAAAATGGAGACAGTGAAGACACTTCTGGAATAATCCAAATGAAATGGTGGAGACAGAAAAACTTGCCTAAGTCAGCTTAGTGACCTTCAGATTCAAACCATGCACTCCACCAATCCAGACACATTTATCCCTCATGTCCATCTACAGCCACATCTGCCAATCCCTGAGCCGGCACTCCTCATACCCACCCTGAGACTATAAAGGTGCCCCGGCCCTTTGTTCTCTTTCTTCTCATGCTGTCTGTCTCTGTTCTTCTCATTCTCTGAGAGGAGCTTCTTTCAGGCCTCTCGCATGGGTACAGGGTCCTAAGGCCTTGAGCCATCCTCTCCTCTACTGCTTTCCCAGGCCACACACAGGGAACTGGAAGGAAGTGGAGAAGCTGGGACACGAACCAGTACCCATATGGGATCCTGGCACATGCAAGGCAAGGGCTTTAGACACTAGGCAACTGCGCTGGGCCCCTATGCTCCCTTCTCTAAATATGTTCAAAGATGCCATCTCTACCCTCCCCCCAACTAAATGTTTCTGCATGTTGTGAGCCTTGGTTGATGGAATTACTGTCACCTGACTTCAACTCCTGCTTCTAGTGTGGTAGTTCAAGCCAATTCCAGGGAACCTGGAGTCAT